TTGGATATGACACCAACAGCACGGGCAGCAAGAGCAAAAAACTGCATGTTAAGTTGCTTCAGGCGTGTCAGACTCTGCGGACTGTAGCCCGCCAGGCTCCTCTGTCCATGGAATTCTCCAGGCAAGTGGACTGGATTGCTGTGCTCCCCTCCAGGGGATCATCCTGAACCAGGGATCGAACCTGTGTCTCTTAGGTCTCCCGCACTGGCGGGTGGGTTCTTTACCCCTACTGTCACCTGGGAAGCCCCTGCACAGGGAAACAGCGTGAAAAAACATTTGGAAACCACATATCTGCTAAGAGGTTAGTCTCCAAAGTATATTGGGAATTTTTATAAAACTCAATAGCAATAAATAAATAGTTAAAACATGGGCAAAGGACCTGAGTGGACGTTTATTTTCCAAAGAAGACATATATATTGCTGGCACATATATGAAAAAGTGTTCAGCATCACTAATTATCAGGGAAATGAAAATCAAAACCACAGATACTACCTTACACCTGTTAGGAAGGGTTTATTAAAAAGACTAGAGAGAGTGTTGGTGAGGATTTGTGGAAAAGGAGACTGTCGTACACGTTGGGAATGTAAATTCTCACAGCCACTATGGAAAACAGTATGGAGGTTCCTCAAAAATAAAAATAGAGCCATATGATTCAGCAGTCTCACTACTGGAGAAGTCTGTATCTCGAAGAGATGTCTGCACCCCCATGTTCATAGCAGCATTATTAACAATAGCCAAGATATCAGAACAACCTTAATATCCTTCCATCCTTGAATGGATAAAGAAGTTGTGATCTATCTATCTGTATATCTTTCCATTTAACTGTATCTAATGGAATGTTACAGTGTATATGAATGCAGTGTTCAGCCATGAGAAAAAAATGAAATCCTGTCCTTTGTGACAATATGGATGGTCCTAGGGGACATTATACTAAGTGAAAAGCCTGACAGAGAAGGACACAAACTATATGATCTCTCATATATATATTAATTCTAAAACAAACAATGTCAAACTCATGGAAACAGAAGAGAAAGATGTACTACTAGTGGCTGTGTGGTAGGGGAAATGAGGAAATTGTGGTCAAACAGTATAAGCTTGCAGTTATTAGATATACCAGCTCTATTTATCTAATGTACGGCATGGGACTACAGTTCATATACTGTTTTATATACTTATGATTTTCCAAGAGAGTAGATTTTAAGCATTCTCATGCACACATACATTCACCATACCTCAAATGATAACTGTGTGGGGGTAGTGGATGAGTTAACCTGATTGTGGTAATATTTCCACAATGTCACATCATCCTTTTGTACACTTTAATGTAGGCAGTTTTATGTATACAGATTTATTTATCAGTTCAGTTCAGTCACTCAGTTGTGTCTGACTCTTTGGGACCCCATGAACCACAGCACGCCAGGCCTCCCTGTCCATCACCAACTCCCGGAGTCTACCCAAACTCATGTCCATTGAGTCGGTGATGCCATCCAACCGTCCCATCCTCTGTCATCCCCTTCTCCTCCTGCCTTCAATCTTTCCCAGCATCAGGGTCTTTTCAAATGAGTCAGCTCTCCGCATCAGGTGGCCAAAGTAGTGGAGTTTCAGCTTCAACATCAGTCCTTCCAATGAACACCCAGGACTGATCTCCTTTAGGATGGACTGGTTGGATCTCCTTGCAGTCCAAGGGACTCTCAAGAGTCTTCTCCAACACCACAGTTCAAAAGTATCAATTCTTTGGCACTCAGCTTTCTTTATAGTCCAACTCTCACATCCATACATGACTACTGGAAAAGCCATAGCTTAGACTAGACAGAATTGAACAGTTCAATACACCTTGCCAGCTCTTAAAGCACTGAGTCAACACCAAAAGCCCAGAGAAAATGAATGCCGCTATGTCCTGTGGGTCATTTAATGAAAAGGCATGCTAACATTCCCTAAAATATTTGATTATAGTGCAGTGATTGTTGACTGTGACAGGTACAGAAAATTTGAAATATTTGGCATACTGTTCATGATGTAGGGAAATATGCAGCATACTTTAGATGTTTCCATTCTATTTCAATAAAAATTATTTTAGAACTCCCAGGTATATTAAATTGTATGTGTATAAGTAAGTAAATGTTGACATATATACTAGACAAATATCTTCTAACCCACAAACATAGAGAAGATGAGTTTTCCAAATTTGCTGGCATATTGAGTGCAGCACTTTCACAGCATCATCTTTTAGGATTTGAAATAGCTCAAGTGGAATTCCATCACCTCCACTACCTTTGTTTGTATTGATGCTTCCTAAAGCACACTTAATTAACTTCACATTCCAGGATGTCTGGCTCTAGGTGAGTGATCACACCATCGTGATTATCTGGGTCATGAAGATCTTTTTTGTACAGTTCTGTGTATTCTTGCCACCTCTTCGTAATATCTTCTGCTTCTGTTAGGTCCATACCATTTCTGTCCTTTATTGAGCCCATCTTTGCATAAAATGTTCCCTTGGTATAATTTTGTTGACGAGATCTCCAGTCTTTCCTATTCTGTTGTTTTCCTCTATTTCTTTGCACTGATCACTGAGGAAGGCTTTCTATCTCTCCTTGCTGTTCTTTGGAACTCTGCTTTTAAATGGGTATATCTTTCCTTTCCCCTTTGCTTTTCACGTCTCTTCTTTTCACAGCTATTTGTAAGGCCTCCTCAGACAGCCATTTTGCTTTTTTGCATTTCTTTTTCTTGGGGATGATCTTGCTCCCTGTCTCCTGCACAGTGTCACAAACCTCTGTCCATAGTTCGTCAGGGACTGATCTAGTCCCTTTAATCTATTTGTCCCTTCCACTGTATAATCATACGGGATTTGATTTAGGTCATACCTGAATGGTCTAGTGGTTTTCCCTTCTTTCTTCAATTTAAGTCTGAATTTGGCAATAAGGAGTTCATGATCTGAGCCACAGTCAGCTTCTGGTCTTGTTTTTGCTGACTGTATAGAGCTTCTCCATCTTTGGCTGTAAAGGATATTATCAATCTGATTTCGGTGTTGGCCATCTGGTGATGTCCATGTGTAGAATCTTCTCTCATGTAGTTGGAAGAGGGAGTTTGCTATGACCAGTGCGTTCTCTTAGCAAAACTCTATTCGCCTTTGCCCTGCTTCATTCTGTTCTCCAAGGCCAAACTTGCCTGTTTCTCCAGTTGTTTCTTGACTTCCTACTTTTGCATTCCGGTCCCCTATAATGAAAAGGACATCTTTCATCAGTTGTACCTCAGTAAAACTGGAGGAAATGAACAATGAACAGTAAAAGAGACCCATGGCGGGTTCAAGTCAATGAATGGCAAAATCAATTCAATGTTGTAAAGTAAAATAAATAAATAAGAGGGTCAGTGTTTTTGTTTTTTAGAGAACAGGGAGTCTCAGTGCTATCTTACACTGTTTCAGAGAACAGGAAAATAAGGAATGCTTCTGATTGTTTTATGAAGCAAGGTTAATACTGGTGCCAAAACTGATAACAAAGATTTACTAAAAAGAAAAGAAAAAATAAACACAGCTCAATCTTACTAATCATTAATTTTGATAGTTACAGTGGTAATTTGGCTTCTAAGAAAAGGTTTGTATGTTTTAGATTTTCATACTGAACTATTCAGGGGCAGAATATCATGATGACTTCTTTTTTTATACTTTGCCTGTCATCACTTACTTTAAAATACTTAAGCTTTGAATTTCTATAACCATAGATTTTTAGGTTCATAAGTTGGCCAGATCATCATCCTGTTTTTAGGGGTTTCTGAGTCAGTAAGGTAGTACTGGTGAACCTTTTATAGTGCTTATTATATTTGAAATTTGTTGGTATTGAACTTGTTTTCTATATGTTTATAATTTCAGTTTTTGAATACAGAAAACACTCACTTGAAATCATATGCGAATCATATGGAAGGATCTTTTTTAGGGCTTATAAATGTGTCCTTTTTGTATCTGTTTGCACAATGACTTGTAAAAACAATGGATAATGACAAAAGGACTTCTCAAAAAATATATGTGGGTGTTAAGAGTTAATCTTAAATGGAAGTAGGATACCTTGAATAGCAAAATTAAAGAAGAAAGAAGCTACCTATTTTGAGAAGTTTAAAAAGAAAAATGAAAAATAAAAAGTGAAAGTAGGATATCAGATAAAGAACAGAATATTAGTAAATCTCAATTCAAACATTAATAGATTTTTTTTTGTCTTTTGACCAGCGTATCATTTTTAAATATACTTTTTCCTGAGCATATTTTATTAGGTATATATTTATACAAGTTGATTTATTATTTACCTGTCACATTGACTTGCTGAGCCCAGGAATAATAGCATGCTTCCTTAGAAGCCATATAGTTCATCCCTCTTAGATTTTCAGAAAAAGACACCTCTCTGGTTACCTTGAGTAACTAGATCTGTTCTTTGATCTAACATAGGAAAGTTGGATAGGTAATAAGCTATGTCTTGTGAATTCACTACCTTAAACTGCATCATGTGGCTATTCCATAAGTGATGAGCTGGATAAACTTGTTGGTTGGTCACTAAAGAAAATTGAAAAATTGTGATAAATAGATATTTGAAAGAAGAGGGTATAAAATTCACAAAAGCAATCATGTAGTTTGACATAAGATAGGAGGATGACATTATTATATGAGAAGTAAGAAGAAAAGGACCCAAGTTAGCAAAGGAAAATAAGTACAACCTTGAGAGAAATGAAAATTGAAGGGGAATGAGTGGGAAGTCCTACATTTCTCTTATACTAGGAGTTACTAAATCATTGTGTTAGAGCAACTGGCAACATTTAAACTTGTCTACATTTTTTTCTACCCTGTTTTATTTTTCCCCTCTCATTTTTAAGAAACATATGTGATTTTTTTGATGTCACCCCTTCAAAAGTGTAGACTTTGTGTAGGAGTTTTATGTAATTGTGAATTAATGTCCTGATGATAAAAAGGAAAGGCTGTAATGTTTGTCTTTTTTTGTGGGGGTGGGGGACTATTCCAGGCATAGCCCTTTTGTACCTGCAGTTGTACCGGGTTACATGTGACCAGTCCTATTTGCTCCGATCCCTGGATTATGTAAAGAGAACACTTCGGAATCTGAATGGCCGAAGGGTCACTTTCCTCTGTGGAGATGCTGGGCCCCTGGCCGTTGGAGCTGTTGTATATCATAAACTCAAAAGTGATTGTGAGTCCCAGGAATGCATCACAAAGTGAGTTTTTACTACTGGAAGTGTTTTTTCCAAATTCTCAGTATTGATGTAGAAAGAAACTCAAAAAATGAAAATGAATTTCTCTTTTAATTCACCTGCTCTTGCAAATAGTTCTTTCCAAGTAGAAAAAAGTTTGAAAATTAATCTTGAGCCTGATTGGGCTCAATATTGGGATTGTTTGCTGCTTTTCTATTGAAGCATGTGTTTGTCTTAATTTGAGGGAAGAGCGTAAACATGTTTTTTCCTAAGTAATTTTTGGTCGCCTTCAGTGCATGAAAATTAGCTTATATGCCTTAGATTCACTATAATAACTGAGGTATTCTTAGGTTCAGTTGTTATGAAACATAGAGAATGTAAGCTTTTGCATATATTGTCTTGTATTCTCTTTTGAATCAGAGCCATGGTCTCTACTAGCCATGGTCTAGTGAAGTGTCTGGCATGTGCTGGTCAGTTAATGTTTGTTAAAGATGGGGTGACTCAAGCTAATTCTCAAGCATTGGCTACATTTTAGTAAGATTTTTACTAAAATTTGTAATCATTTTCTTGTAATTCTGGGTTTCAGAACTGAGTATCTTCTCTTATATGTATATATTCCTATAAAGTTTAGATATATTAGTAAACATAGAACTTTTGAACAGCAAGATGTGTTATTATTAATTTTTATATCTGAGAGAGAAGTTTTTGTTTGGTTTTGTAGTGGAAGTTTTTGTTGTTTTCCCTCTTTTTTGATATTTTTAAAAATCATTTTTAAGTGAAAAATAATAACAGATAATTCCTAAAGTGATAGGGTTACTTGCAGTTTTAGGAAGAGGTATTTTAGACATTCTCTGGGTAAACAGAATTTTTCTTGTTGGGTAGACTTTTGCAACTCCAGAGAACCATCGTCTGTCGAGATTCAGACCTTCCTGATGAGCTGCTTTATGGACGGGCAGGTTATCTGTACGCCTTACTCTACGTGAACACGGAGATAGGTCCAGGCGCTGTGTGTGAGTCAGCTATCAAAGAGGTACGGTGGGGCCGTGGGTTGGGGAGTCCTCTCCTATCCATCAGGCAGCCTGTCTGCTAGCATAGAGTTATAGTAGCGACTGGACTCTGCCTCTAGGTAAGAGTAATTTCCTAAGGCCTCTCACAAAATTAATAAATAGCTCCTTTATTTTTTCTTCTGGGGACTTTGTTTTTTAATTAAGTTTGTATTCATTCAGCTGTTTTTACTAAAACCACGCAGTAGCTTAAAGAAGAATGTTTATTTCTCTTTCATGAGGTGTCTAAACTGATAGGCAATCAAGGTGAATATGGCTAGGGACCACTTCCCTCTTGTACTGCCTTATCCTCGGGCCACGCCCTTATCTGCGGGTACTGAGAACCCCAGCCCAGGGCGTGATGAGCACGTCCTCCACTCACTCGTGCACACATCCTGCTTCTAGAACTCCGTCAGATGACTGTGTCCCTCTGTCTGTATCTCTGAGGCGATATGTCTCACTAAAACTTGGAGCCCTGTTACCAAAAGTATGAGGGGAGAGAGGATATGAGGAAACAGTTAAACACTACTTTGCCACATAGTCATTCTAAAATCCTGCAGCAAACCTCATTGCTGGAGTGTTTATAAATAAAGCCAGTTCCTCCAGCGTTGGTGGATGTACAGTTATCCCTTAGTACCTGCTGGGGATTGATTCCAGGACCCCCTCTGGATACCAAAATGCCAGGATGCGGAAGTCTCTTAATACAGTGATGAAGTATTTGCATGTGAGCTATGCATATCCTCCTGTGTACTTTGAATCATCTCTAGATTACTTTTCATACCTAACACCATGTAAATGCTGTGCAAACAGCTGCCCCCATGCAACCAATTCAAGTTTTAATTCTTGGAACTTTCTGGAATATATTTTCCCCAATATTTTTTTCAGAGGTTGGTTGAATCCACTGGTGTGAAACCCGCGGCAGATGTGGAGGGCCAAGTGTACTTGCCTTTTGGGGGAAAATATTGAGTCTAAGTAGTCTAAGATAGTTTTTATAGGAGGTTTTTCTAGGTTCTAGTAAACTGTCCATACAAAGACCTTTTTATCTCTTGGTTCTGCTTCTTAATATCTTTTCCTATTCTGAGATTGTCTTCTGATTTCTCCCTGACTGTATTTATTGATTAATAGAATAAAGATAATGGTGCTTATCATTTCAGATTAAGTCGTCTATGTATTAAAGATTTTCAGATTAAGTAGTCTATGTATACAAAGATTTTCAACTTAAGTAATCTATGTATATAAAGACATGTTGTTATTGTTAATGAGACTAAAACAGACTACATGTCAGTTTTCTAGACTTTCTCTGTCTCATCATCTGTGTAGGTAGTCAGTGCCATCATTGAATCTGGCAAAGCTTTGTCCAGGGAGGAGAAGAAGGTGGAGCGCTGCCCCCTGTTGTATCAGTGGCACAGGAAGCAGTATGTCGGAGCAGCCCACGGAATGGCCGGGATCTACTACATGTTAATGCAGGTGAGTGACAGTCTGTAATTCCAGTGCGGTAACCACACTATGAAATGCTGGATTGAATCAAGAACGGGAACTGAAATTTTACTACAAACCAAGCAGGCTGAAATGAAATAAGACTGCTCAGGCAGGGACTTCCTGAGAGAGAGTACATTCTGTGTGCAGTTTTGTGCTGGATAAGGTGTCTGTGGCCACATTTTATTTCTGCCCATTTTTCCCTGCTCTTTTAATTGCGGAAAACCTTCAAGAAGCAGAAAAGGCTGCTAGAATGCAGACTAGGGCAGCGGCTTTTTCATATTCAAATAACCCCAACTTGGTATCAGTTGTGTTGAAAATTTTTAACTAGTTTGTTATTATGGTTATGATCTTGTCTCTGAATCACCCCTGATGTCTGCTGAATCACGTACTGATAGTCAAAGACCTCGCACCAAATACTGCTTCAGCCTGCTTCCAGCCTTATGGCCTGTGAGTCCCTCCTCTGGGGCAGACCTCAGCGACATCGAAGGTTCAGTTCCACACTGCTGCAGCAAAGCAGATGTCGCAGTGAAGGAAGTCATATGTTTCTTGGCTTTCCAGTGAATGTGTAAGTTACGTTTACATATTAATGTAGTCTGTTTAAAGTGTGCAATACTACTATGTCCTTAAAAAACATGTACATACCTGAATTTTAAAATACTTTATTGCTAAAAAATGCTAAACTGTCATCTGAACCTTCAGTGATTGGTGATCTTTTTGCAGTAGTTATATCACAGGTCACTGATCGTATATCACTATATCAAATATAATAACAGTGAAAAAGTGTGAAATATTGTGAGAATTACCAAAATGTTTCACTGAGAAACAAAATGAGCAAATCCTGTTGGAAAAAGTGGTGCCAATAGACTTGCTTGATTCAGAGTTGCCACAAACTTTCAGTTTTTTAAAAACACAAATGCAGCACAATAAAACAAAGACGAATAAAACAAGGTCTGGCTGTACTTTTTTTTCCAATTAAGCCTTTTTTTAATTCTACCACACCCATAACAGAGTACTTTATAAACTTATTCAAAATTACAAAGCTAGTATGTCAAGGAACATGGATGAGAATTTAGATCTTTTTAATTAAAAGCCCATATATTCCTTTATAAAATTTGTATTTACAGATGCCTTTTTAATTTTTACCTTTTGCATCATGCTGGTACTCACTAAAGGAAAATGGGAAATTCCTATCTGCCCAGGACTAGAACTCCTTTTTCTGCTGATTAAGTATGCTTGATTATCATTGTAGAAAGTAAAACACCTATGTATTCCAATTTGTGAGTTTTGTCTTAGTTCAGACATGTTCTCAAGCAGCCAGAATTCCATGTCTCATTTTAAAATGGCAGTGTTGTTCGAGTCAGTTGGTAGACTGTCTGTTTTTCTCTCTTTTCTCAGAGAAACGTTTATAACAGTGGCCTTTGATTCTTTTTTAAAAGTGGTAAACATAATAGTGGGAACATAATCATAAGAAAATCAGCAATAATTTAGTTTTAGGTGTTTAGTTTAATTTTGCTAGATATTAGGGGGTTCCTTGAGAAAATCACACATCATAAAATTTTCAATTCACCTACTTTTAAAGTGACGAACATAGAGACACTGTTTTGTAAAGGATACTGTTTAGACATTGATGTCAGCATTCTCTTCCGGATCACCAAGCAGTGATGTGCCGGAGCTGGTCTCGTGAGCCTGGCCATGCACGTCTCTCCCCAGTGGTGCCGGCCTGACCACGCGGGGGCTCCTATGTGGTTTCATCTGAACAGCTGTTGGAACAGCATACACAAAAACTTTCAAAATATCACTTGAACAGAGCTCCACTTTACAATGAAGAATAAAGAACAGTTCTTGAAAATCATCTCAAAACATCAAGGAAAACAGAAAACTGACGCCCAGCGTCTTTGATGAGACTTGGAGACTCCTGCAGCCCCACTAGACAAGTATGTAGACTGAGAACAGATGAAGGACCAAAGGAACAGGAGGCGACCTGAGAGGGCAGGATGGTTGCACAAGGTGCCTGAGGATGAGGACGCCAGCTAGAAGAAGCCGGTAGTCCCACGGAGCCCTGCACTTAGGAGCTTAAGTGCCCTCAGAGGCAGCGCCGGACACGTGTGCAGGTGGAGAGTGAGCCTGGGCCCCAGGAGGGCGTCTTTGAAAGCCTCCGTGGAGCCCACCTGGGCCTCTGCAGGGACCACCCTACACAGCGACGTGACTAGAGATAACAGGAAGTAGGCTGAAAGAGTAAGCCGAGTTCTTTTAGCTCCAGAAAGCCAGGTGTAGATGAGACTTGAAGTGAAGCACAGAACTGAAGGCCGGGCTCTGTGACCGTTCCCACGGTCAGCAAGGAGACCTCACTGAGGCCACGGCCCACCTCTCCCCAGCACCTTCCCCCAGCCCAGCTGTCAGAGCCTCACCGCCTCAACATAGGGAATTGAAGTCTCTTTTATAGAAATAGCTCAGATAAAAGATTTGTGGATATAGGTGTATGAAAGTCCCCAGTTGTCTGTGATGGGTAATTTTATATGTTAACTTGACTGGGCTCTGGTGCCCAGACATCTAGTCAGACGTTACTCTGGGTATTTCTGTGAGGGTGTGTAGGTGATGTTTACATTTAAACAGGTTGACTTCTGGTAAAGAAGTCTGTTCTCTGCACGTGGGTGGGCTTCGTCCAGTCAGTTGAAGGCCTCCCCTGAGCAAGAGCGAATCCCCAGCGGACAGCCTTCAGCTTCATCTGCAGCCTCAGCAAGTATTGATGCAAAGGTCTGCCCAGGCCTTAAGTAACCAGAGAGGTAAATTAATTCTAGTTTCATATGTTCCTCAGTATTCTAGGTAATTGATGCTTAACTATATTAACCACAATATAGGTTTAAAAAAAAAACTTATGGAAAAATTAATTAAATTTTTTATTTGTTTAAAAGCCAGCAGCAAAAGTGGACCAAGAAACCTTGACAGAAATGGTGAAACCTAGTATTGACTATATGCGCCACAAAAGATTCCGGTCTGGGAATTACCCGTCCTCACTGAGCAATGAGACGGACCGACTGGTGCACTGGTGCCACGGGGCTCCCGGCGTCATCCACATGCTCATGCAGGCCCACAAGGTCAGTGCCCGGGCCGCGCACTTGGCTCCCGATGTGCAGACGGTGTGCACCACCGAGTGAGGTTTGGTCTCGGTAATCGCATTTGCTTGTAAACTAAAAACATTTTAGGGCTAACATTTCTACTAGTAAACAGAAAATCTTACTTCACTGTTCATCCCCACTATAGTTAGAGCTATAAGTGTGTTTGTGTGTCTTAACCAGAATTATATTTATGTGTAAAAGAAAACCTAGATAACATAAGTATGAATAACCAGTAAGGTAGGAGGTAGCGTTATAGCCACAGTGCTTTTTGTTTGACTTCACATCATTTCATTTCCTTCCTTGAATACACCTTTGTTGCAGGATGATGATTTGGGAACTTTTAAATCTGAATTTAAAATTATTATAAAATTATTTATAAAAGATGGACTTGGCATGCCAAATTTCACACATACAGGGTATTATTGGAAATTAGGCAGTGCCTTGACTTTACTGATGAACTGTAGTAGACTCTTGATCTGTCTGTGCACAGTGTTAAGAATACTGTTATTTCTCTCCTGGATTTAGAATTACCATGTAAATTGAAATTATCATATAAAATTGAGAAGCAATTTTACTTTTCTTTTTAATGCATCTTTGTAATAGTTGATGTTTGATTTCCCCTCCTATCGCTGCTACTCACATTTCACATAGGGTATACTCTTCTTGGTATGAACATGTATTATTTGAAATTATGTAATATTTTAGATGGTCTTGGAAAAAATGTCAAAGATTTTTAATACTACTTCTGTGATGTATTAGGAATTTTGTTAATTGAAAGTGATTTCCTAACGGTTACGTTCGTGGACATTTGTGGACCTCATGGATGGAAGCTATTTTGATGAATAGTTCCAATCAGTGAGTTTCCGTGTTAGCTTGGATGGCGAAGAATCTGCCTGCAGTGCAGGAGACCTGGTTTTGATTACTGGGTTGAGAAGATCCTCTGGAGAAAGGAGTGGCTACCCACTCCAGTATTCTAGCCTAGAGAATCTCATGGACAGAGGAGCCTAGTGAACTACAACCCGTGGGGTTACAAAGAGCTGGACATGACTGAGCAACTAACACTTTCACTTTTCTACAATCAGTTCTTTATGGTAAATTATACATTATAGTAACAAAATCTTCCACCTTCTAACCACACATTTAAGCCTTGGGGCATTAGCAGTTTGTGCGGACTCAGCCACTAATGAACAAATACTAACATTGGTCAAATAAAGTTATATTTGAAAAAGTAAATATATTGCCCAAGAAAACCATGTAAGTCATAGCAAACTGATATCAAAATTATCCTTTGATTCGGGGCTAAATGTGTGAAAAAACCATACCTTCCCTTCCTGTACCCACAGTCCTGCTCTGTAATTTCCACTGTAGAACTATTAGAAATGCATCTTGATGGTCAACTCTTGATCTTAACTTTTCATCAGAAAATGTTTTCATATAAATTATTCCCTCAAATCTCATTTGTTAGTTGATTATTTCTAACATGGACTATCTTTCTTCTAGGTGGTGTTTGTCAGAATCACCTGGAGAGATTATTTTCAAACTATACTTTCTTTCCTTCTTCCTCTGGATTCTGGCACCTTCCTGATATCAAGCATCATTATAGACATACTAGTTTATCCCTTTGTTGTTCAGTTGTTTCTGGTTTTTTTACTACTATGATAAGCTATAGTGAACATTCTTGTACAAGTCTTTATTTGTAGACGTATGTTTGCATTTCTTTAGGGGCTGATAAATATGATAACTAAGAGTGGAATTGCTGGATCAGAAAGTGACTTGTTTAGTTTCATAAGACACTGCTAGAGCTTTTCTTAAAGGGCTGTACCATTTTTACATTCAGTCAGCAATATAAGAGAATTCCAGTTGCTGCACATCTCTGCCTACTCTTGGTGTTGAAAGTTATCTTCATTGTATTCTGGTGGGTATTTCATTCTGGTTTTGATTTATGTTTTCGTGATGATTAATAATATCGAGCAATTTTGCTTGTGCTCATGGGTTGTTTGTACAGTTGAACCTTTAGCAGCACAGATTTGAGCTTTGTGGGGCCACTTATATTTGGATTTTTTTCAATAAATACAGTACTGTGGTATAACACAGTCCACGATGGGTTGAATGAGGATACAGAATGGCATACAGATGGGTCCCACTGAAAAGTTATATAAGGATTTTCAACTGGGTGGGGGCTAGTACCCCAGCCCCCATATTGTTCAAGGGTTAATTGTATATTTTTGTTAAGTGTCTATTCATATCTTTTCCCCACATTGTTTTATTTATTTATCTTTTTATTATTAAGTTATAAAAATTCTTCCTGTGTTCTGGTTGTAAGTCCTTTCACAGATATGTTTTGGAAATAACTTCTCTCAGTCTATAGTCAGCCTAACTTAGTATTCTGTATGGTATCTTTTAATGAATCCAGTTTTAAATTTTGATGAAGTCTACCTTATCAGTGTTTTGTTTTCTTTTTTTTAATGGCAACTACTTTCTAAATCTTGTCTAAGAAATTTTACTCACTCCCAGGTTATACAGACAGTATTCTCCTACATTCTTCATGGATTTAGATTTTATATTTAGAATTGTCTCAAATTAAGTTTTATATGCTTTATGAAGGACTGAGGCTCTTTTTCTCACTGCAGGAGTGTTTGATTGTTCCCACATTGTTTGTTGCAGACTTATTTCCCCAATTGATTGATCTGGTACCCATAGAGGCACTAGTTCAAAGATCAAATTACCCAGTAAGCATAAATTTATATCTGGGCTCTCTATTCTGTTATTTTGGCCTCTTTATCTGTCACCATGATACCATATTGTTTGGATTACGCTATCTTTAAGCTTTGAAATCAGGTAATTTAAGACTTCAGCTTTGTTTTTCTTTTTCAGAATTGTTTTAAATATCCTAGATCCTTTGCATTTAAATATAAGATTCAGATATCAGTTTGTCAACCTCTGCAAAAGAGGCCTATTGGGATTATGACTGAGACTGCAGTTAATTTATAGATCATTTTGGTAGATTTGATATCGATTTTGAGTGATCCTATCCACAAATATGGTTTCCACTGTTTGTATTTTCTTTCATTTATGTCAGCAATGTTTTATAGTTTTTGATGTCTTTATATTTAAATTGTGTCTCTTCATAGTTGGGCCTTGTCTAGCAATGCAATTTTAATGATCTCAGCCTTTAATCTGAAAGTTTGGTTTAACAATATTTACATGCTTGGGTTTAGCTCTGCCATTTTCCCATAGGTTTCTATTGGCTACATCTTGGGGCTTTTTTTTCCTCCTTTGTGTTTTCTTTCTTCCATTTTAGGGAGGTAGGAGAGATTAATTGGATTTTTTTCTGGAACTCCATATTAACTTCTCTGTTGACTCTGTAGTTATATCTGTTTGCACATTTTTTTCAGTTCAGTCGCTCAGTCATATCCGACTCCTTGCAACCCCATGGACTGCAGCACACCAGGCTTCCCTGCCCATCACCAACTCCCGGAGTTTACTCAAACTCATGTCCATTAAGTCGGTGATGCCATCCAACCATTGCATCCTCTGTCGTCCCCTTCTCCTCCT